TTTTCTCTCGGTCCCACCACCCTCACAGGTGCGCTTGGTGGGGACACAGGAGAGGGCCTTCTCCATCGCTGCTCCCAGACTCTGGAACTCCCTCCCACCGGAAGCCAGTCTGGCCCCATCTTTGCTGTCCTGCAAACAGGCAGGCAAAGACCTTTATCTTCAGGCAGGCTTTTCATTAAAAACTGGTGGTTTGAGATGAATTTTTAAATAGTTTGTTGGGCTCTGTTATTTTAAATGTGTTTTAATATTGATTTTAATATTATACTTGTTTCATTATTTTTTAATATTTGTATATTTACTGTTCCTAGCTTTTGAATATTGTCTTTTTAATAACGTGAGCCCACTTTTGGTCCCTCTTTTGGGGAGAAAGGCAGGATAGAAATATTTCAAATAAATAAATAAATAAACGAAATTTGTCCATTCACAGACAGACATTTGAACACACCTCATAATTCCCTTATGTGCAGAAAAGAAGAGTGTTTGGAAAGACATTTCTCTCCACTGTTGGAGGAAGAACCCCAATAGTCTAATAATTCCTGAACAAAGTACGGTGCCTCCAGGAGGCACTGAATACAAAGAGGCTCAGTTAAAAACCAAGTTGAAGGCTGGAATTTATTTATTTTATTTATATCCCGCCTATCTGGTCAATTACAACCACTCTAGGCGGCTAGGTGGAAGGTGGTAAAGGTGGAGAATTAAGAAACAGAATTAAGAGGAAGCTTTAAAAGAAAAATATTCTGCAGCAGAAGGATAACTGAAAGAGATCAGCAGAGACTCCATGAGAGCAAAACAGAAATTGTAGAAACGAAAAGGAGAGAGGCCTGTATCCAAGGATGGATGTCAGTAGACTAAAAAAGAAGTTTCTGCAGCAGAAACAAAGAATACATTTGCAAGGAAATGAGTTACAAATAGGTATACTTTGGGCCAATATTTGGGATCATTAGAAGCATATGCAGGATTTCTTTTAGCATAGTACTTGCAACCACCTACAGATAAAAAGAACGCTCAGAAAGATGATGGAGGTTCCTTGAGAAAACTGTTATAAGTGCACAAAAAATAAAATCCAGACAAGAACTGGAAAAAGGAACCACCTTGACTCCTCACTGAAGTCTGCAGACCAAGCCTTCATCAAGAAAGGATGATTGATTCAATTAGGAATGGGATGAAATAAGGTCTTCTGTTCCTAACCCCTGAAGATTAGGTTCCCTCCTACAGCAAACGTACACACAACAGCATGATTTGAAGCTACAGGCAAGGGCTCTGATGCATCATGAGGGTGCTACTTTCAAAAGCAGTCCCGTATCAATTGTTAACCCTTAATTCTACTTCAAGCACACACGCACACACCCCACACATCCAAAAAAACCCACTATTTTTGGCACCACTGTAAAATTATTCGTGTCTCAGCCCACTCCTTTCTTGGAGTTTACAACAGCAAATCCTTCTCATTTACACGTTTTACCTTCATCTGGAAGCACATGGTTTGGAGTGGTGAGGACCTTCTTCTCATTCGTGACCCAGGTGGGCGTCCTAGGAGGAAGAAGCACCAAGGGCTCTGGCTTCGCTGTAGCAGCAGCATTTTCCTTGTTGGCATACCTCTTTGAGGTCCCTCTCCTTGGCGTAGGAAGCAGAGGTGGTATGAACTCTCCACCATCCAAGAACATTTGAGGCTTTCAAAAAATGAAGAAAAACTTTTTTCTCTCTCTCCAAATGCTTGAAAACATCTCAGATATTAATAATCTATTACCTAGACATAACGCAGCTCACCAGTGCAGGATTCTCTGGATTCACACACTACGTGATCCAGTGCCTCCCTTCCCCTGCATCAGGAGATGAGTCTTCATAATAACCATCACTTCACTTATTTGCAACAAGAGGCAGAAGTGTTAGAGGCTCAAGTTGGCTCTCCTTCATAGATGGTTAAGGCATTTCTTAATTATTTTATCACAATCATGTCACTTTAGGCACTCTGATAATGAATAGTCTCCTATTTTACATCAGATCAAATCTATAATTTTCAGCTGTCAAGTTCTTCATTTCATCTCAACAGTGTCCAATCACACTTTTATCTTCTCACTTTGGGAGGATCAAAATTGCATATATGCCATATATAATCTGCTTTCTTGTCCAGAAGATAACTGTGTACTTAGCCTCTACAATGCCAGAGCATGAGATGCTCTTTAGCAATGCTCTTTAGCAATGCATGGGAACATTACTTGGTCTGTTGGTACATCTAGCTCATTACTTTCAACAACAGGGAGAAGGGACTTGTGGCCATTCAGGGATACTTTTGGGCTTCACCTTCCACTAGGTCCAGCCAGCATGGCCATTTCTTGAATTATGGGAACTGTAGTTGAACGACAGTTAGGAAACCACAGATTACCTGTCCCTGCTTTCCATGAGTGGTTGAGGGTTTCAGGGCATCTGTCTTTCCCGGGTCAGTGTGAAGTTGTCAGATATTTCACTTCCAACCTTTTGCATGCAAAGCATGACCTGGCCTCAGGTACTGCTGCATTGCCAAACCTATCCTAAAGAGGCTTTTTGTTGAAATTGTGGACTTAGGACATGCCCAGCTGCACTACTTCTTCTCTAGAGAGTCTCACTGCATATTCATATCCAAGCTGTTTTTAGGAAAAGGTATAGCCCTGAAACCAATCCCCAGTTTCAACAGGATACAGCCCTGAAGCCAAGCCAAGTTCTGGCCAAAAATTCAAAACACTGCGGACTAAGGAACTGCAGATACCTGCTTGATTGGGGGCGTGTTGCAAAACACGGGCTGAGCTTCTTCTGGCGAGGCTAGAAATTCCATGGATCCAAACACATATGGTGTTTCATTACTGTCTGAGTCCTCTTCACAACTCAGAGTCTTCTTGATCTGTTGCAAGAGAAGTTTTTGAAAGAATCATTAGACCACTGCTTTCAGAACCTGGCTTGGCTATTTCTGAAAGCCTCCAGTGGCCTAGCAAAAAAGCAGAGTAGTCTAGACAAGCCTGATGTCAATATTTACCATGTCAGTGAGGCTAGAAGAGAAGTTCAGTGAATGCCCTACATACCTTCTGCATTCATATAACCCAGCATTTCTTTGGATCCCTGACTACTCTTATCCATTTCCAGTTAAGTCCTGTTTGGACTTAGCCTGCCTTGAAATAGCAGCACATAGCCATGTAGTTGCACCATTCTGTTTTATTTTTCAGATGCCTTTCTCTCTCTCTCTCCCTCCCTGTTGATACAGGGCACAAAGTCATACAGCCTGAACACTGAGCCTTGGCAAAATGCAGTCTCTAACATGAGGTTTCCCATCTTACCGTTGGGACTTAACTGAAGGATAGAGTCGGCAAGGAAGGGTGGAGCATAAGGGTGGTTTGATATCCTTTGATTTGTATTCCTGCATCAAGCAGAGGGTTGGACATGATGGCCTTAGAAGCCCCTCCCAACTCAACTATTCTATGGCTGAAGCAGATCAAGGATGACACTGTGGAAGGTGGCTGAAGCAACAAGAGTTTTTCAGTTGAGGCTGAAGCAAATCAAGGATGACACTGTGGAAGGCGGCTGAAGCAACAAGAGTTTTTCAGTTGAGTCGAACGATCAGAGATTTTTTTAAAAAAACCATTGCGCTGCAGTGTCACTTGAAAGGAGGAGGAACCAGACAAAAAGAGAATGGACTTTGGTTTCATCTTCCACGTTAATTCGTGGCCACCTTGCCCTGCTGGTGGACATCAACTACCAGTGTGCAGTTCATTAAATGTTGAAATGACACACATGGCTCTCCCAAGTATGTTCCCATCTGTTAAAAATCCATTCCTGGTCTGTGTGACTCCTTACAGGGAATGGTTGGTGGCAGCTTAGTGAAACTGAACTGTGGCCACCTTGCCCTGCTGGTGGACATCAATTACCAGTGTGCAGTTCATTAAATGTTGAAATGACACACATGGCTCTCCCAAGTATGTTCCCATCAAGCAGAAGCAGACAAATTTGCTTGGTTTTAACAAAGCAGCATCTTGTGCCTTACAATCCTTCTCTGGGCATTCTGCCTTAACAAATGTAAATATTGAGAATGGATTTGATTCAATTTTTTTTTTAAATTTTTTTTTGATTATTTAGTTTTTTTTAAAAAAAATTAAATTTAAATCATTATTTAAATCTTTTTTTAAAAAATCACTGATTTTTATCCAGCTTGGTAATATCATACGAATGCTTGTAAGCTAGAAAATTAAAATGCCTTAGTGCTTCCTAATTCAAAGCAGTGTTCGTTACAGTCTAAGACAAACCATGTTTACTGCAACCTGAGACACAATATGCTTCACTCTTCACTGTGCCAGATTGCTTTTGGAATGCCCTAGAAGTCGCAAAGCTGGATTACACACCTTCTGTTGTCTTGGAGCAAGGCTAGCACATTCTCCCGTTGAAGGAGCCCTCAGACGAACAGGCTTACCGCGAGCCTTCTTGGATTCAAGCAAAAGGTATGTTGCAGACACTTGATCATATTTCCACTAAAAACAAAAAACAGACTTAGGTCACTTTCAGACCCTTTCCTTGGAAGTGGAAAAAATACCTATCTAAAGGTTATTAGCAATCCTAGAGAAATTGAAACAGACTCCAGTATGACGTCTTCTATCTGTGAGATTAGTACCCACTGGTTCACTTATCCACTGGCTGAAAATACTAAATTAAAAACCCCAGAAATACCAATTTATATGTATTACCAGGGTTTATTTACCAGAACTGGCCACTAGAGGGAGGCACAGACCACCTAATGTATACCATTTGATACTTCCGTATTTTTCAGCATCTGCAGGGGAGGGGGCTTGGAACTGATCCCCTGTGGATACCGCTAACTTAGCACAGTGGTGTCTCGCATAGCGACGTTAATTCATTCCGCAAAATAGCTGCAGAACGAAAACGTCACTATGCGATATTAAAAAAACCATAGAAACGCATTAAAACACGATTAATGCGTTCCTATGGGCTTAAAACTCGCCGTTCTGTGAAGATCGTCCATAGCGCGGCCATTTCTGGTGCCTCTTAAGCAAGGAATCCATCCCAAAAAACAGCGGGCGGCCATTTTGAAACCGCCAATCAGCTGTTAAAAAATCATTGCTTTGCCATGATCGGTGCCCGAAACAGGGAACCGATCATCGCAAAGCAAAATTCCCCCATAGGGAACATTGCAAAGCGATCACAAAAAATGTGTCGCAAAGCGATTTCATTGTAAAATGAAGCGATCGCTATGTGAGGCACCACTGTATACACTCAAGATTCCCCCCATCCTCCCTTAGAGAGAGCCAGATACATACTATATACTGTATATCCCGTAACTTTCAAAAAAATTAAGTTCAACATTCTAGCTTATTATACAGAAATTAAGAATGTCCCTTTCAAAGATTTACACAGAGGTCATGTTGCTACCGCTTGCACTCATAACTATCCTATGATGCCAAAGCACAAAGGCTGTCTCTGGAAACAGAATTCTTAACAATGAATCAAGCATTTAACCAAAGAAAGCTGGGGAAAGGGGTAAACCAAGTAGAGCATTAAGGGAGGGTTCAGGCATATTTCCAAAAAGGGTGCTAAAAAGCAAAGTGTGTTGCTTATATAGTGTGCTAAAAAGCAAAGTGTGTTGCTTATATACTGCCTCATAGCACTTAAAGCACTGTCTGAGCAGTTCACAGTTTAACTGTGCACGCTACAGATTGCCCCACCAACGAGCTGGGTAGTCAATTTACCGACCTTAGAAGGCTGGAAGGCTGAGTGAACCTCAAGCCAGCTACTTGAGATTGAACCTGGGTTTTGAGCAGAGTTTTGGCTGCTCCACTAGAGCTTAACCACCATGAGGTTTCTTCCAAAAACTTGCTACTCAAAAGGCTGGGATTTTAATACAATACTTTTGGCTGCTGCACTAGAGCTTAACCACTGTGCCATGAAGTTTCTTCCAAAAACTTGCCACTCAAAAGGCTGGGATTTTAATACAATACTGTATGACACAATGGACATGGCAGTAATCTCATAGTGACAAGGTACATAGTGCTTCCTTGAGGCTTTTAAAAAAAAGCCAGATGCTTCAGTCAAGACCCTACTCCCAGTTACAAAACCCTGTAGCAGTCAGTGTATTTCCATTGAAGGGAGAGAAAATACAGAGCTTTGAACACATACCCTGACTCAAAAGCCAGGTGGTCTTATCACTGTACAGCTCTTCTCCTAAGTTTCAAATGCACAAGTTTATATGATCCCTGTCTTCTGCCTTTAGACAACATTGGCCCCTCAAACAGATATATTTTGCCCATCAGACAACAGTTTGGCAAGTTTGAATGAAAAATCCATTAATTCTTCCTCCTTTCCAATCATAGATTTCTGTGAAATTCACCTTCTGCCTCATGCCTTGACTGCATTAATGTTATAATTGTAAAACAGTCTGTACTTTTCGAGTCAATGTGCCATGAAATATGCAAATTCTTACCATGAAATAAGTAGTTGATTGCCATGAAGATGAAAGCCTAAGCAGTAAAATTTTAGATTTGCAAGATACATGAAATGCAGTAAATTCTGTGCACCACAGGTGAGATGTACTGACCAGGTATATATTTGCAACAGACCAATCCCTGAAGTCAACTTGTGGCTTCCCAGAAATATATCAAGATTCCAGGTGGGATCAAGAATGACCTATGCTTAGAAACATTACATTTCTGAACTAGAACTGGCAGAATCTCCAAGCTTTCTGGACACGTAGTTTAGAAAAAATGACTTTTCCAACTTTTGTTAAGGAGAAGACTTCTTGGAGCGATGGCTTTGAGCATTGTTCATCTTCACCAACATAAGCACAGAAGATCCCTGGCATCTAAAAGGGTACTCCAAGGAGGCACCCATTGCCCATTGTGAATTAACAGGCTTGGCCAGTAGAGTACCCTCTAGAATACCCACCCCATAGATTTAATCATAGTAATGGGAGCCATTCCATAGATGGCTCTGTAGACTGCACAACAGAATGCTCTTCAGAGAATGGTATTCATCTAATACACGCATTTGAAGATTTCAATGAACTCTAAAATAGAGATGTTAACTTTGAGACACTGTGTACAGGATTTACCTTTACCTCTGTGAACACGTAGATTTTAGCCCACTTGGCTTATTCAACAATTATTATTAAAATCAAATATTACCTCTGAAATGACACCTGCCATCCTTTCTCTGCTACATTTATGAAATACAGAAAGTTCTGTTATGCAGTCTTCATCAAGATGCCCAGGCTAAAAAAGAAAAATCCCTGTAAATATTGGTGTTAAATCCTTGCTATTTGCAGATACATTTTTGCAATTATTGCATCTTCTCCACTGCGTATTTTGCATATTTTTACATCTCATCACTTCATATACTTCAGAAGGCAGACCTTCTGAAACATTTCATTTTTAATTATACTAGCACATATGCTTGTTAAAGAAATCTATAGCTATGCGAGTTCATAAATCTGAATCCTGGTTTACATAACACATTTTGATATTCATAATTGGGATCAGGGTAGATGAAAATCAAAGGTTTTTTAAAAGATAAAATTGATTTAAATAAAAAATAGATTTTTAAAATTTAAATTGTCAAAAATACCTGATTTTTAAAAAATGGAAATCATGATTGAAATCAATTTGATTTAAATCAAATCCACCTTGATTGGGATAATCATAATCGCATAATCTAAGTAATCATGTGCCGTTAAGTCAATTCTGACTTATAGCAACCCTTTTCAAGGTTTTCCAGGTAGAGAATAGACAGAAGTAGATTACCATTCCCTTCTTTTGGGAGCTCCCTGGGTAAGTGCAGCTTGCCCAAGGCCACACAGGCTAGTTGTACTCACAAGCGGCACAGTGGGGAATTGAACTCCAAACTTCTAGCTCTGCAGCAAGATATTTAAAGCACTGAGCTATCCAGCCAGCTAATCACATAAAGGACTGTGTAAAGGCTACTGGAATTTGTTAGTAGTCTTCTGAATAAGTGGGAAACAGCACTAACAGAGCTGGGGAAAGCATGGGGCAGGGAAATAACTCCACATTGAAACATCCAGTATGCAAAATGTAGTGCCAGGAATGAACTTCTTGTCAAAAGCAAGCCCCCTTATAATACTGGCTGTAGGTAAGTGCAAATGGCAACCTAAGAGCAACTAAGAACATTTCCGTATCCATCCTCAGGCATAACTATCTTCCCCGTGTAAGTCTCATTTCTCCAGATCCCTTCTCAAGTTCGGATTTTATGTTGCCTGTTGGTTTTACTCATTTATCCTAAATCGCTCAGCCCACTATGATGGTCTTAGTATCATGTCTGAATGTTAAGAATTAGTAAGGCTCTGCTCTTTAGGTCTCTTACTAGCATTGATTTCTGGACTGAAGGTACAATTCTAGATGATCTGCTCTAACTCCTAGCGCTTGAGCACACTCTTCTTTCAGGAGCCAAAAAGCAAAACATACAAACAAGATCTATTTGAATAAAGATAGCCGGGGAGAAAGAAGGCTAACATGTTAGAGAGTAGAGAAACAGTGACACTCCATGGACAGAACTGTGTCTTTCCCCTCCCAGAATGCAAACACACTCTAAGGGGTAGAAGGTTTTTCAGATGAATCTACTGGTTATGATACCCTTATCTCAAAGGCCACATTCTGGAAACACCTGCCCAGATGTTTCAGGGTTCTATTTTTCACGTAAGGCTTAATAAGGCTTAGAGGCAAACTGAAAAGAACTCAGAGTCATTAGTAAAGTGTACTGAATGCAGAGTTTCTGTCAGCCAGTACAGGCAAAGCTGGGGTAGGTGGTTGAGAATCTGACCCGCCACCTACTTAAGGCCACTTCCTATGTAAGCATGTGCCAGAATCCCCCAGATTGCTATACTTTCCCTGAAAAATGAATACAGTGGGGCCTCGCTTAATGAGCGCACCATTTAATGAGTGAATACAGTGGGGCCTCGCTTAACGAGCGCACCGTTTAACGACGAATCCGCATAGCGACCCGTTTTTTGCGGTCGCTAATGGGATCGCATTGCGATGTTTAGATAGGCATTGCGATCATTTCTGCACCCGGCGGCCATTTTGGGAACAGCTGATCGGCAGTTCCAAAATGGTGGCCAGGTGCAGAATATGGCCGCCCGCACCATTTTCACGCCATGCCCTCGCTTACCGGGCAGCGAAAATGGCGGCTGGATCCAGGAGTCTTCGCTTACCAGTGAGTTTTTCCCTAATAGGAACGCATTAAACTCTGTTTAATGCGTTCCTATGGGTTTTCCCTGCCCGGATAGCGAAGAATCCCGACAGCGACGTTAATCCTGGAACAGATTAACGTCGCTATGTGGGGCACCACTGTATTTTCTGCTGACCTCTGAGAAATTAGCAGAGAAACGGTGCTCACTGCAAACCACCAGCATCAGGTGTTGTTTAATACCTACCAAATGTTTGTTACACCTTAAGAAATAGCTCTGAAGTTCTAAGATGATGATGATCACACATAATCTAAGATACCTTTAGATAACTGGATTTGCCTAATATTTTTTATTTATATCAAACATATTGCATACATTCTTTGGGTCATAATATTAGTTAAGCACAAAATAAGAGAGCAGCCTGCCCTTGGTTTCAACCCAAAGGAGACTCACACTAGCGACTGTGCAGGCAGAATGCACAAGTCTTGGCAGCTGGCTCCATTGGGGGAGAACCCCATAGTACCTCTCACCGTCTTTCAAAGGTCTGAGCTCTTAATGTAAACCACTTTCCGAAAGAGCCAGAACACACATGTAGTGATACACCCCCTTTGGGAGAGAGGGTTAGCTTTGTGACCATCCCAGGTCAGCCTAGGTTCAAGCTGAGTTATATGCGCTCATTCATACCTATTATGTTATGGCATTGTATACTCACAGGGTATTGGCTTTGCCACTGGACAGCAAAGGAGTAGCCATGCATGAGCCATGGGTGATTTAAGAGATGCTTAACTGTAATCCGCTTCTTTGGGTCCACCTAGTGGATAATGAGGAAAGTGCACCTCAACAAACAGCTACTGCAAATAAATACGCCAGAGAAAGGTGTGTAGTATTAAGCTGTGAAGGGTGTGCCGTCCTCCCCACAACCAAGTACAGAGGAAGGGCAGGGATGTGTGGAAGGAGTATTGGTGGAAATAGAGCAGGAACAATCAGAGGAACGAGAAAGCTTAGAGGTGTGTCTAGCTGATGAAAGAGCGGAAGAGCTAGACCTAATTGTATGGGAGGCGGATATAAGAGACAGAAGTTTTAACATTCGAACGGGCACACACCCTAACAAGAAAGACCAGGCCATGCAGACGGAGTAGAGCACCGGACAGGAGGGCTTTTCTACGCTGCTCAAAGAGTTTCCGAATCTACAAGTTGGTGGCGGACTCCTGCCAGACCCAAAGGACTTGCCGAGAGGGGAAGAACTTTGGAATGGACAGTAGTGGTGTATCCGCACAACCAGCGTGCGAGGAGGAGGATGACCCGTCCCAGTCCCTCTTTACTCTAGCCACAACAAGAGGGAGACTGGGCGAGACACCCCTGCTGTGGGACAGTGTGTGCGGTGAGGAGCACGCCCCTGAGGCCCATGACCGACAAGGAACAATTTGGTCCAGCCCCTCTATAAGGACAGATATTGAAACACCTGATGTTAAGGTGCGGCGTTACCATCCGTTGCCTGAACTTAGTTTAATGCAGTCGTCCTCAACCTTGGGCCTCCAGATGTTCTTGGACTTCAACTCCCAGAAGTCCTGGCCAGAATCCTGGTGATGTAGGCTTCTGGGAGTTGTAGTCCAAGAACAACCGGAGGCCCAAGATTGGGGACCACTGGTTTAATGGATCCGTTTGAACCAATGGAGTTGAGTTTGTTCACGAATAAATCCAGTTGTGTTAAGAATATGGAACAGCCTCCGACTCTCATTCCGCCGCCAAGACAGGGGTCGCACACGGTAACTAATGAACCCAATCACATAAGCTGACAAGGAAATTTGCAGCACATTTCTCAAGGTCTGTCCTTAAGGTCACTGGATTCTTTCGCTACACAGGGTGGTGGCTCCAGTTCCAGAAATCCAGAAAAGCTCCAGTTCCAGAAATCACAATTATTTGGTCACTCTCTTCAGCCAGAAACAGCCTTCGTTCTAAGCAGTTTACAGATCCTTAAATGAGACATTATACCTTGATGAGTATCCTGCATCCCTACAATCAAGCTCCCTTTGATTTCCTAGGCAGTTTGGACTTCTTAAAGAAGCAGAAAAGAAGGAGAGGAGGAAGAGATTGGGAACCCGCTGAAGCAACATAATTCAGAGTCTCCAAATAGTTTCTCTTTATAACAAAGATTATGAAAAACAGGCTAGAGAAACAGGTTTATTCATAGCTGAATGGAACTTCCATAGTTAGTGATAGTATACTTCACAGCCTACAGAACAAAACTATGAAGAAACTCTTAAGTTTCATGGAAGTATCTGATAAGATACTTCGGGCAACAAATGGACCCTGGTCTTATCCTACTGGGTTCCTGGGTCATTTCCAGACATAAATGCCAAGTTGGCGTCATCTCAGTTCCTTAAACCATGATTGCTACCGTAAGACCATAATAAGTAGGGAACATATACAGTGGGGTCTCGACTTAAGAACTTAATCCATATTGGAAGGTGATTCTCAAGTCGAAAAGTTCTTAAGTCGAATCTGCATTTCCCATAGGAATGCATTGAAAACCATTTAATCCGTATCTGCTCTTTTCTGTCCATAGAAACTAATAGGAAGCTGCTATTCTGCCTTCTGCCACTAGAGGGGGATATTTTCTTTCTTTTTTCCCCTTAGGTTCAGGGAAGGCAGAGAACACTAAAGGCAGCACTTTAGAACTCTTTTTTTTTTAAAACGAAGCCAATTTTAAATAATGTTTTAAAGCATGTTGTGCTGATTTTTTCAGCACAAAGGCACTCAGGCAGGCTTTTTAGGTGCTGAGCAAGCCTCCGGAAGCCTGCTCAGAGCCAGCCGATCAGCTGTTAGGCGGGGAGAGGAACGGGGAAAACCACAAAATGGCTGCCAGGCTCTTTCTGGGTGTCGGCTTTTAGCTCTTTCCTGCTCTTTTTCCTGTGGTTTGGGGGCTACCAAGGCCTGGTAAGTGACTTTATTTAACAGTACAGTATTTATTTTTAAGTTTCTGACCCTTTTCCCCCCTCCAGAAGCCTCTAAGGGGAGGGAGGGGGGACTTTTTCCCTGTTCGTAACTCGAGGGAAGTTCGCATGTCGAGTCCTTACTTTCCCTATAGGGCAGGTTCGTAACTCGAATTCTTCGCAAGTCGGGTCGTTCGTAAGTCGAGACCCCACTGTAGATGTTTCTGGACTGTACCTTCCACAACCTTAGTCAGAATTAGGATAGCAGTGGCAGTCTAACATCTGGAAAGCTACAAGAAGGCAATTCGTAGAAGTGGGAAAGAAAGAGAAAAGCTAAGCATGCTGTTGACCAACAGTTCTGTGGTATAGTTAGAAGTTTCCCTGCTTCAGAAATTTACCTGCAGCATCTGGTTTAGAAGTAATATACTGCCAGGTGAGAGCCATTTTGGAATGTCATATTTTCCTCTCTGTGAAGAAAGCAATTTTAATATTTTGTTGCATGAGTAAAACTTAGAACAGCCTTCCCTTTATCCAGTAGGTTGTGTACCAAAATCTCAGAGACACGGTCTGCTACTTTCTACAGTACATCTCAAAACTCAACATCAACAGAGCTTGACTGGCGGCAGGCAAGCTAAATACATTAAATGGACTGAAATAGGTGTCAAAACATGGAAGGCTCAAGTCTAAAGTGGACAATAATTAAACCATGAAAGCTCTTATTTTTAGAATGTAATCAAAGAGCATGAATGATATATCATCCTAGGTGCTGTTGCCCTTGTTATGTATTACCAAGCAAGTTCCAACTTGATAACACAGGTTGCCCAATGAACTAAACACCTCCAAAAGGTTCTCTCATTAATACCCCTGCTCAAGTTTTCCAAACTAAAGCTCAGGCCTTCCTTGACTGAGTCCATCTATCTTATGGCGGGCCCTCCTACTGCCTTCCATTTTTCTTTGCATTGGTGTCATTTCCAGTGAACCTTGACGTCTCATGATACATCTGAAGTACAATAGCCTCACTTCAATCAAGCTTTATTTGATGTAAAATCCACTTATTTGTCTTTTTTTTTAAGTCCATGGTCCACTTCTGAACATTTTGTACCTTGAACACACTATGAGACAATCTGCGTTACTAGCCAGTGTCACCCTCAACATGACACGTAAGCAAAGTTTTGCACACACTGCATCAGAGCACACAACCACTGCAGATATTACTTTAATACCGCAGGCGTTTGATGCTGCATGTCTCTTGATTTATTTTATTTCTATTACTTCTAATGGGAACAAGTTTGAGAGAGCTGTAACTGGCAAGCTAGGCATGATTTTTCACCCAGTGTCAATAATAACCAAATTGAAGTCCTAGGCTAGCCTTACTGAATCAACAGGGCTTTAGTGAGTTAACTCCTCTAAGTTCCTCTGACTCAAATGGGCCAAATGTGACTTATTATGCTAAAGTTAAGTCACATTTAGGGTAAGCTCATTTCAATCAATGGAACTTAGCAAGGAGTTGCCTCACCATATCCTCATTCATTCAGTGGGCCTGCTATGGTATGATTTACTGTGTTAAACAACAGAAATTTGGCCACTGAAACCAACTGCATCCATTGCAGAACACTGAATGATGGCCTGCTTAGCATATGACCACTAGCGTTTATGACGTATCTATCTTATTTGATATCGTGATGCTGACAAAGTAGGAATCTTAAATTCAAACGTCATTATTGAGATCACAACATCCCAAATGAGAAAGGGAATCAAATATACATATTATTTTAAAATTAAAACTGTGAATAGTCTATGGTTATCATCAAGGGCAGTTGGAATTCAATACATCTGGTGGGCACCAGGCAGGGGAAAGCTGTCTTAAATCAGCTTTATAGCTTTCATTTTGATACTGGCATGTTGAATGCTTCTGTGGACCAAACAGAAGAGAGCAAATAACAGGATTCCATGACCATTTTACAAGAACAGGGGTTTAACAGAGCCATAACTTCCTGAAGTTTTGAGAGCATCCCAATCACCAAATGGAAAAACTAGAATGCCTACCAAATAAATGTACAGAAGCAGTCGAAGACTGCATTTCAAAGCAAAAATATTTAAACTGCTGTTTCTCAATGGTTTACAATTCTTATTTTGAAGAATTTGGCCCACTTACACCTCTGACTACAGGACTCAGTGCAAAATTTCTTGAAGTTGGAACAGACAATCTTTTTATTCGCGAAGGCTTTCATGGCCGGGATCTAAAGGTTGTTCTGGGTTTTTCGGGCTCTTTGGCCGTGTTCTGAAGGTTGTTCTTCCTGATGTTTCGCCAGTCTCTGTGGCCAGCATCTTCAGAGGTTGCTGTCCTCTGAAGATGCCAGCCAGAGAGACTGGCGAAACGTCAGGAAGAACAACCTTCAGAACACGGCCAAAGAGCCCGAAAAACCCACAACAACCTTTAGACAATCTTTTATTTGAATGTTCATAATTTATCTGCCCTATTCGTTTTAGAGAACTCTGAATTTCTGATTAGCATCCAACGGAGTATATAGTATAATAAATCTTTCCACAGGGAAGTAGTGCAGGCAGAATGCTGTTCTTTTGTTCTTACATTTTAGCTATTAGTCTCTCAATTTTCAACAGCATGCCCACTGAAAGTAAAACTTCATTTCCCATCATTGAGTATTTCATACGCATAAAGACTTTGATTAGAGGACTATTTATTATGGCCAAATTCAGTAAAACATTCTTCCAGATCTGATTCATGGTTTCTATCTCCTGGATTCCTTTTGCACAGATCCTGAAGACAATTTGCATGACTTAGATCAGCTGCTGGGACCAGAGATTTTTTAAAAAGGCAGCATCTTTGTTACAGGCATTTGTGCAGCTTCTGGTAACCCTTTTGCCTAGCATTTAAGAAGAGATGAGGCTTTGCTACCAACTCCACTTTCTGAAGCCAGAACACCTTCCATTTTACATGTGATTAAGGCTTGCTTTATTTTCATTCTCCTCTCAGTACAATTCTCTTAGTTTGAAAGCCTGCCTTTGGGGGCTTTTAAAATCTTTGTAGCAGGTGCTTGGATCATTTCATGTCCTTTACGAACTAAGTATTTCTCAGTTTCATTAACACTAGGTGGAATTTAGTGCCACCTAGGTCAAGAGCTGTACCCTTCAATATCACATGACTGAAGACAAGGTTCCATTCGTCTATAATTTCCTTTGCTAGGAAACTCGGGTAACTGTGCATTCAACAGTTTCAAAGTCAATGGGGCCATCCTCAAATTAGGGCAGTTTAGATCCTTAACATACCCTGTACGTATGCAGCAATAAGTATTGCTGTGAAACAAAAAGGGGTGGGGGAGAAGTATTGACAGGATAGAACCAGAGAGGAATTGCTGGCTTAGTAGCCTGCCATTTTGTAATTTTTAATTGGCTGCCATTTTGGCTGCCATTTTGTAATTTTTAATTAGGCTTCACAAAAGCTTTGGGATCAGACCTAATAGTAGCTTGTGTTCAAATTGGATTAAGCTGTGTGTTGCAAGAGGGGGGAAATTACACAAGGATTTAACACCATTCATCTCGGCTGCTATGCTGGATTCTAAAGTCAAGGTCTCCAGGTATCACAAAGCTACAGACAGATTTGGATTCAGCGGACTGAAAAACATCAAGAAAGCAAACCAATTCCTGTCAAGGACCTTCAAAACCAGGGAAAGCTCCCCCACCCACCCACTGCAGAATCAGATTGCAAAATCCACCTAAACTAGTGATGTCTAGTTAATGGATAATGAGTCAGGAGCAATCTTTTCCATCCTGCCTCCAACCCTGTTCAAGTATAGCCTTCAGAACCAGCTACCAGAATTCCAGGAGCTTTAACAGTAGTTCAAAATGTTTAGGGTATCAGGTTAAGGGGCGCACATGGTTCTCAGACACAAATCTATCACTGCTACCAGAGAATGGGACCAAGTCTGGAAATTTTGCAGGCAGTGCATATGCTCCGACTACTGAAACTGCAGTCATTTGATAAACAAAACAGAGAGCACTCCAGGACAAGACATTGCTATTGGCATGACATGGAACTACAGTGGTGCCTCGCTTAGTGATTGCCTTGTTTATCAATGTATTCGCTTAGCGATGAGGTTTTTGGCGCGATTTTGCGCTCCGTTTAGCGATGTTCCCTATGAGGAAATTTCGCATAGCGATGTTTGGGACCTTGCCTCGCTTAGTGATGACAGTTTAGGTCCCCGTTTCGCTTAGCGATGTCCATTTTCGCTATTTTTAAAGCTGTCAAACCTCAATTCAATGCATTCCAATGGGGGGGAAATTCTCCAAAACTTAACGAAGAGTCAGAACAAAGCCAAATTAATTCTGCAAAGGTTTTACAAGGTGCACTAATGATTCCACACATTTAAAACAGGTTTCAAACATTTTAAGACACTTTCAAAATAGTGAAAACAGACCTGTCAAAACCATTGGAATGCATTGAATAGGCTTCAATGCATTCCAATGGGGGAAACCTTGTTTCGCTTAGTGATGTTTCCTATGGTGATTTTCGCTTAAGGACGGTAATCCGTTCCGATTGGAACGGATTATCCTGTTTTCAATGCATTCCTATGGGAAATGGTGTTTCGCTTAGCGATGTTTTCCCACAACGATGTTTTTTTGGGAACCAATTAACATCGTTAAGCGAGGCACCACTGTAATCATAGCTATGATGAAGGTTAATGTTGGCTATTGACCAGAATTTAGAGGACAGCCTGAATATACTTCACAGGAATGTCAGCCAACTGGATGGAAAAGTGCTGTATTCAAAGTTACAGTAGTGTATGTTTTTTTTAGTGTTGAATGGAATATGCTTAGATGATCTTCCCTCAAAAAATAAAAAAGTTTAATCACATTTGATGTCTATTATACTATTCCATCTAAAGTGGATTAATATCATGTTCAGCATCTTACTATAATGTTTCCTAGAATTTTGGTCTAGCAAGCAACCAGAAGGAGGGGCATAAGCTGGGCGAAAAATAAAGCCTCTAGACAATAACCAGGTTTTCCACTCTACAGGAGGCCTATATCCTTCATTTCACTCTGTTGATGTGGCCAGAAAATAAAAACATCACTCGGAGAATGATGCATCAGCAGAAAAACAGGAATTACACACCTGGCCAGGGTGCAAAAGAGGAAATTGTCCTGGGCAGATTAAATTATGTGGATGCTTACAACTGTATGAGTACTTGCGTGCACTGAACTTGCCATGGCAGCCTCTTGTCATGCATGGGCACATTTAACAGATTTCCTTCAAGGCTGGGGAAGGCAAAGCAGAGACCTTTGATGACCTCCTGCTAAGATAGTGCCACGACTTGGCTACTGCTGAACGGAGATGATTGGGGCTGGGGGCGAGGGTGGAAACAAACAAGGATCTGACTTCTAAGATATCCCCTAGCTTAACGCTTGGTTTTCAAACAATACACTTAGGCTTTCTGTTAAAGCAGCAGGCTTTAAAAACTGAACACATTGTTATTCGGTTCATAGGAAGATACATCTCCTGTGAAAGCTCTTGGAGTAGTCCCACAAAAACATAAAGTCCTGAATGCTGACAAACTGTCAGCTCTGGGCTACGACGTGTACCTACCACTATTTTCTTGTAGAGTGCCATGACGTTATCATCGTCAAATGGTAGAAATCCACAGAGGAGAGCATACAAGAGTACTCCCATGCTCCAGATATCTGCCTGGGATGAAAAGAAAATCAATGGCCGGAAAAGTAGAGCATCTGCTTGACACACAATGTCCCACTTAGCTTCAATATATGTCGGCAAGCCTGCAAGAATCATTTCATGAGCTTCATGGCCATGGACCAGCTACCATTTTGATGAGGTTCAGAAACTGTCCCAAGTTTGTGGGGTGGGGCGGTTTTGCTGCCATGATCATGCCCTGAGGAGTGTGCCAACACTTGAAGGCGAGTATGATGTGCCTTCGTCCCCATCATGGAGTTGGGATGGTCTCCGCCTCACTCGCCAACAGTTTCGCAGCACTTTGAAGAAACTCTGAAGCTCAGACTTAGAAAGGCAAATTTGCCACACACACATACACACCCAGCTGTGATTGTGAACATGGGGGGGGGAGCTTATTGTTTCTTGGTATTACACATCCAAGATGCATGGAAGGGTAATAAACAAAGAAAAACATTCTCTCTCGCCTTCTCACCAGCTTCCAAGGTCCTCTAAAACAACTTCAGGGCAAGCCCTGTCCCAAGTCCAGGGCTGGTGGACAAACTAAGCTATGGAGACAATCCCCATGTTTTGAGCCAAGCACGGGACCAGGAGACTAACCCTGATCCAGAACTGCAAGAGAGTTGGAGATCAGGAGATGAGTAGAGACCCAGTACCCACACTTTTCACTCACAAACACTACCGTTCGTACAATGCTAACCAGAACATGTGGAGCCCTGCCTTTTACAGGACAGGCTGAATATTCTACAAACAGGAAATTGATCTAAAGGCTAACAAAGCACAGGAAGGGAAACCCAGATTCCTTATTCTTTCCCGGGTTCTGTTTTAGGTACTGTGGACCCTCGACTTACAGACGGCTCGACTTACAGACTTTTCGACTTACAGACTTCTCTGGCCACAAAATTTAGATTCGACTTGCAGCCAGAGAATCGACCTACAGACCAGAAAAAAACCAAAATGGAACAAAAATAGAATAAAAACTGCCAGTAATGGGATTAATTGGTTTTCAATGCATTGTAGGTCAATGGAAATTCGATCTACAGACGTTTCGACTTGCAGCCACCGTTCCAATACGGATTAATTCCTTAAGTAGAGGGTCCACTATATATGTGTCAGGAGTACCTTCATGCTTGCAAGGGAGGGAAGCATGTTTTCACAGCCAACCTAACAGAAACTTTGGTAGTCTGGAAAACTGTTGAGGTGTTGGGGTGGGGTGCCATGTGACCAAATTACATGATAATTACATCCCACATTACTGCAGAGCTGGGGGCAGGGGAAGAAACAGGACGGCAACTCCCAGAATCAATCCAGTCAGCTGGTGTTCTGCCATCCAAAAATGAACTTTTCCAAGCAAATAACAGGGTTGCTCTCTTCAAGAAAGGGAGAATCAGTCCAGAATAGAGAAAGGCAGCAGGATTCCCATACCAAGTACGATACACCACCCATGGGGCTCCTTAGTCACATTCCCAAAAAATCCCCTTTACCACTGTTCACTTTCAAGAGCCCAGCACAGAATGTGAAGATTCTGCAAATGTCTGCGTGCATATAGGGGCAAAGGGTGTTACAGGGTGCTTTACACTGTCCTGACTGCTGTAAGAATGAACAGAAGCAAAGATGCTTGCCCTTCAGTCTTCTGAAGGTTATCCTTCATGTTTTGGGTTTTTTAAAAGGAACACACATAAGCAAGAGTTCATCCGAGAGGCTTACAGGAAGAAGAGACTCAAGTGTAAAAGAAGGTACTTCAATACCTCTGAGCCAATGTAAGTTTTGCCCTGAATTAACTCAGGCGCTGCATATGCTGGACTTCCGCAGCATGTGCTTAGATGGTAATCCAGACCACCCTAGAACAAGAACAGAAACAGTGAGCAACATCTGCAACAGACCTGTATGCCCTGCTACCATTTCAGAACTCAGCAGCAGGCAAAGTCAGCTGAAATATCTGACCTGTTATGAGACGAGGACTACCTCTTCAGCCAACCATAATCACCTTAACACATTTGTCTTCAACCTTTCAGCCATCCTCCTCATTCATATTCTCTCTCTCTCTCACACACACACACACAAATATGTTGGGTCCATTGCCAGTTGGACCCTAGAAATAACACCAGGGCTATGTTTGAGTAGCAAACAATTTTTAGCCTAAGGCAAAATCTATTACATTCAATTTCATATTATGCTTAGTACAACTTTCAGGGTGCTGAAAAGATAAAAGAACTCTGTCACCAGGCTTACAGTTTAAAAATGTATGACACAGAAGGAAAAAAAGAAACGAGGAGGGAAAAGGGAGGCAAGTAAACTCAAGACATCAATGCTTAACATTATACAACCTTCTAAAACACTGGTTCTTAACCTTGGGTCACTCAAGAGTTTTGGACTGCAACTCCCAGAAGCAGAAGGAAAAAAAGAAACGAGGAGGGAAAAGGGAGGCAAGTAAACTCAAGATATCAATGCTTAACGTTATACAACCTTCTAAAATAATGTCCAACTGTAACGGAAATGGACTGCTAATGAACCAGTTTAAAACATATGTTGATAATGTCCAACTGTAATGGAAATGGACCGCTAATGAACCAGTTTAAAACATATGTTGATGAGTGGCCAAGAAGCATCCTGACAATCCAGTCTTTACGGCAGTTATAATGTTAATGGATGCCGCAGTTCTTACAGGATGGGTCCTCTGCCATCGAGTGCCACTCTGCTGGCTGTCAGTCAGTCCCACCGCAGAAAACAAGGCCCAAGGAGCCCAGTACTACCACTGCAAGGGCCTTGTTGCTCTTTGTGGAGACAGCAATTAATTCCAACCTCCTTTGTAAAAAGCAACCCAACCCAACTGATGCAAGCAACAGACAGTGGCGCTAAGAAGTGCCACCTTCACACACCCAGACAGATGGAAGGGAAGGAAGCCGTCCAAAGACTCTCACAAGACTCAAAGCATTCAAATATTCTACACCACAACTGGATTTTGAGACTTTGAACACAAAGTCAACAATACGTTGAAACCAAGATGCTATTAATTCTATTATGTGTACATGTTTCGCTTGACTTCAGTTTTGTATTCTGGGAAAGTTACGCTGAAGGCATAAGGATAAAACCAGGTCACATCAAACCTTTTCAGTATGAGCCAGATGGATGGCTATGCTGCTTCAGCATGCAGAATTAACTAAATTTGTAAGACTATAAACATGTGGCACCCTGTATTAAACTCAGTCAGACCAGTAATATCAAATGACTGGCAGCAACCCTTTACAGCTTCCAGCAAACATCTTTCCTATTACTACCTTTCGATGCCTGAGATCAAACTTGGGGTTTTCCATATGCAAAGCAGTCTCTTTGCCATTGAACCACTGACCTTTCTCATTTGTAGTCACAATGCATCCATTGAGAAAAGGCAGGGGGATAGATAAGTAGAAGCATAATTTGTTTTGACCATAGTTCAACATGTACCTTTCCGGAGCTGGGGCAATATTTCATGGCTAAAATCCTCTTGTGTAGCACAAGTGGCACTACAGTAGACCTACTGAATCTGTGTGGATCTGAGACAATTCCTTTGCTCCACTGTTTCAAATGGACCTACAGTACTCCAACTGTGACTTACTAAGCAACAGGATTCCAGCCAGTACTTTCTATTGCCAAAAGAGAAAAATAAAAAGCAATGAACTCTAAAGAGAGCCAACACTCACCCTTGGTTTTGCACAAAGACCAAAATCTATCAGTTTCAGGTTATGCTCAGCATCAATCAGCAAGTTCTCCTGGTAGGAAAGATTGTACAATAGAGCAACTGAATTTAGTAGAATCCAGCACGGGCACAAGCGTGCATGGTACGTGCAGTCTTTTTAAATAGGATGAAGTAAATATCATTCTAAAACTCCACAATGCTCACATGCTGTGCAGAAGTTAAAAGAATTAGGGAAGACAAGTAGATGCTATTAGGAAAAGAAGAGAGAATCAAGAGGAATCTATGTTGCATTGATCCTGCAGCCTTTAATCCCAGCTAGCTGAGCTAGCGTAGAACAGAGTACTTGGATATGCAGGGAACAAAAGGTGTACAGTGGTGCCCCCCATGATGACGATAATTCGTTCCACTGAAATGGGTGTACAGTGGTGCCCCCATGATGACGATAATTCGTTCCACTAAAATCGCTGTACAGCAAAATCGTTGTCATGCGAAAAAATCCCCATTGGAATGCATTGAAAACCGGTTAATGCGTTCCAATGGGGAAATTACCTCATCGTCCAGCAAAGATTCTCCATAGGGAAGCCATTTTCTGAGTGCCAATGAGCTGTTTTTAATGGCTGTCTTCCGAAGCATGGGTCAGAAAACAGCGATGTCGTAAAAATTGTCGTATTCCAAATAAACGGTTCACGAAGCACGGACCTATTCCACGTCCAGCAAAAAAACCCCACTGGAAACATCATTTTGCGATCGCTATAGCGATCAAAAAAAAAGTCACCATCCTGCAGTTTCATTATTCTACAAGGTCGTCATGTAGTAGGGCACCACTGTATACTGTCATTTCTGCAAGGCAAAACTGCCCAGACGGTTCGACTGAGAAGTCTGGCACAAGCAAGAATGGAGAAGAAACTCTGCAACACAGGAAAGCTAATGGCCTAGAGCCATGTTTCCAACTTTGTTCAAGCTGAGCCTGCTTTTAATCAATATAAAAATCTCATGCAACACCCAGTAATATTTTCTGAAATTTGAAATATCATGGCTAATAGAGCATTTGTAAAATCAGAAAAACATTTACTTTAATCTTTCTTAGTTTTACATTTATTAAACATATATATTTTCTCCAAAAAATGAACTCAGTACTATAATGCAACTGCTATTGCTTCTCATAAGAGGATTCAAAATGCTGCATACAAAGAAAGCAGTAGGTATGCAGGAAAACTCCAATGTACAACAGCTTTCTTTGTGATCCCTGTTTTTAAAACCATTCCAACCAATATAAGCTATTGTCCCCACAGTGTACCAAATTTTATAACTGGTGAGACTCAACTTTCATGATGCCTGTGATTGTTGCTGTAAATTGACACTTCTGGATCACCAAGTGTGGCAAGGAGGAGTCAAGAAGGAGGAGAGGGAAGACAACAGAGGTCAAGGGAAAGCCCCCAGGAAAAAAGTCAGAGACAGGAGGTACGATGGAGAAGAGAGAGGAAGGGCAGAATCTGGAGCAGAGCGTCTAGCACAGACCTGAGCAAAGTGTGGCCCGAAGGCCACATACAACCCACGAGCCACTCCTGTCCCGCCCTGCCAGTCGTCGCTCCAGTCCAGTGTTCAAGCGCTTGTTCAAGCCCAAGACAGACTGGATTTCTCTGACTGAACAAGTTGAATATCAAAGCCATTTAAAGCTTTTTATCTAAAGTTGATCAGTTGCTTATCTTTTATTTTTAGGTAAAGTTGGTTCGGCCCCCGAACACAGTTCAGATTTATCATGTGGCCCCCTATAGAAATTAATTGCCCACCCCTGATCTAGCATGCAAAGCTAGAGAGAGATGGCATGAGGGAGAAGTGAGGAGAACAGAGCACACATCCAAAACGCAAAGGTTTCATTGATAAGCTTGGTTCATTTTCCACATAAAGTTACATTTAATACTGTGGATTTTTTTTAAAAAAAAAATACTGTATACATCTTCCCTGAAACTAAATATGCTCCCCAGGGATATTATGAATCAGTGATCTAGAGATAAAAGAGGCTATGTCTGGGTAGAGTATAGATAATGGAACAAGGAAAAGAACTAAAGATCCTTGTCTCCCAGGTCTTTTCTTTTTTGACAAAAAAGAAAAAAGACAAGACTGGGAGACAAGGATCTGAGTCAAGTAAGACCTAGTGGGGAAAAGAACTGCATGTTCTTGGGAAAAGGAGAGGAGAGGGTCAGGGAGTCTAGATTTCAGAGTTTAGTTGAGAGAAATTTCTGGCAGTTTTGCCACCTCCTACCACTGCAATATTAGGACATTGCAAGCTTCGGGAGACAATGAAAGCTAAGAAGCAGTAGATGTGGTGGCATGGAGGACGCACTCTACATTTGTTACTTGGTGGCAGGCTTCTAATATAAATGAAGGTATGAACCAACAGAGTCTGGAAGAGAGTTACTGTAACGGGCAGACATAACATCACATGTCCGTCACAGCTGGGCAGTGAGTCATCAGCCAATGGTGTGATGGAGGGTGGAACTTAAGGGGAGGAGCCGGCATAAAAAGGGGGGTGAAGAGCGTGTGTGGGAGATCAGAGATTAGAGATGGGAGATGAGAGCTTGTGCTGAGAGTTTAAAGTGATTGTTAGTTATAGTGAGTAAGAGAGCCTGTCAGTGTGAAATAGTCTGTGAGAGCCAGTGATTTATTTACAGTGATTGACTTATTGATTCTTTACCAGTGATTTACCATTTTTATTTTTGTAATCAATAAACCAGATTTTGTTTTGAAAAGTTACACTTGTCCTTTCATGATTCTTTGAGGATAAGTTGGTGGCAGCAGAGATTTTACAGTAAAGTAGCAACCACTCTCTGAGGTTTGAGGGTGGCTGTTACAGTTACCATATTTGCCGGCGTACAAGACGACTGGGCGTATAAGACGACCCCCCAACATTTCCACTCAAAATATAGTGGATGGGCCTGTTGCGGCGCCAGCGGCGGCTGCCCAGGGCTCTGCCTAGGCCCGCCCTGGAAGTTTATGGCCGGCGACGAGGCCCAAGGAGGGCGAGGAGGAGGGGAAGTGGCAGGGTGGGCAGCGGCAGTGGAGGAGGAGGGAGGGGAAGCAGCTCTCCAGCGGCAGGCAGGCAAGTGGGCAGCTGGCTCAGCGGCGAGGGGGGGCGAGCAGCCCAGTGGCGGGGTCTGGGCGCTCAGGGGTGGGCGGCGC